CCCCACATCTCTCCGTGTGAGCGTCCCCCGGGCCCTGCGGGAGTTCCCCGATCTCCATGGGGGTGTTTGTCACATCCCTCCGTGTGAGAGGGTCCCTTCAAAAGGGTATTGAYAATCAGAATTTGAAGAGCCATACTGCCGATGTCACATTTGACACACGAAGTGCMATTTGACAGTAAGAATTGGGGTGTGAGATACAATGTCTATTGCAACAGCTGGGGGAGTTCCACCCTTTAAGAGTTCCTGTTCGAATGAGGAAATTTTGGGGGTCCACTGCATTTTCTGATCCTGATACCATATTTATTGTGTAACAGCATGTGAAGTCTGGACATTATGTAGAATTGGGAGCATTCTGGTTTTGTGAATTGTCAGGGTGGATGAAAAGCGCAATCTTACTCAACCAAATAAACATGCATTAGGTAGGTGGGTTCATGTGTATTTTACTGTATAAAATATACAACTTTTTCCCCTTTGGTGCGCTTGATTYGTGGAAACCACCGTGCAYCCTGCAGAGAAGATACAAYGTCTTCTTTCTTAAAACAGACCCTGCCTGTGTTTAGAGAGCTCCTAAAATCGGCAACAGYGTGAGGGTACTGGTGGTGACCATGAAGACTAGGGACAAACTAGGAAGAGGGTAATGAATACCCCAGAGAGGGTCAGGTTCAGGTGGCTTCTCACACACAGATGTGGGCCCGGTGCTCCGTCCACAGTTGCTGGAAGTCCCTCATCGTTTCTCTGGGGGTGTTGATATGGGGGGCGCTCAGTCCAGCGGCCTGTTGTGGAGGGATGTAGGGGACCCCCCTCACAGAGAGGCTGTGTAAACCCTCACACGTAGGTATGTGGGACACCCTTCCTGGTGGCCCTGGGACCCCCTGAGGGGCCGCCGTGGGGACCCTCACACRGAGGGATGTGTGGGATCTTCCCTCCCTCAGAGGCTGTGGGGATCCCTCTCGCGCACCTTAGCGGGCTCCGGCCGCGAGGGGGCGCTTCCCGCCCGTGCCCGCCGGTCTCCTCGGAGCGGAGCTATGGCGGGCGCRGCGCGGTGCGGGGGCAGCGCCGTGTGCCGCTCCCGGGGCCCCGCCGTGTACCGCTCCCGGGACCCCATCCGCAACCTGCGCCTGCGGTGAGCGCCTGCCCGGCCTCGGCCCGGCCCCGCACCGCGGGCTCTCACAGCCCTGACGCTCCGCTTCTTCCCCGCAGGGTCCGTATCCAGCGGGTCGCGCCGGCCGGGCCTCTGCTGCCGCGGGCGCCGCTGTCGCTCGCCGGCCCCGAGCGCCCGGGCCGGGCCGACCGCGCCGCCGCTGCGGGAGCGGTGTCACCGGGGGCGACCGCGGCCTCTCGCGCAGGCGCACGGAGGCCCCCGGAGGACGAGGAGGAGGCCGAAGTKGGATGGCAGGAGAAGCTCTTCAGCCAGGTGGGTGCACGGGAGGGACTTCACGGAATGGGTCAGATCGGAGGGGATCACTGAGGTCATCCAGTCCGACCACCCTACTCAGGCAGGGGCCCCAGAAAACGCTGCTCAGGTTTATGTTCAGCCGGCTATGAAATACTAAAGTGAGGGAGACTCCAAGCCCTCTCTGGGCAGCCTGTTCAGTGCTTGATCACTGCACAGGGARTAAGTTCTTCCTCGTGTTTGGGTGGAAACTTTCTGGGCATCAGTTCCTGCCCCTTCCTCTTGTCCCATCGCTGGTCCCCATGGAGCAGAGCCTGGTCCATGCTCTCATCCCTCCTTGTAGACACTGACACACAGGAATGAGGTCCCCTCTCAGTGTCTCCTTTCGAGACTGAACAGCCCCAGCTCCCTCAACCTTTCCTCAGAAGAAAGGTGCTCCTTGATCAACTTTGGCACCCTCTAATGAACCTGCTCCAGGAGCTCCATGTGTTTCRTGTCCTGTCCAGAACTGGACAGGCTTGGGGAGCTTCCTGACACCCCCCTTTTTCCACCTCATTGTGGGGTTCCTTGTTTCAGGGTGAAACAAGGGTGTTTTTGGGTGCTGTGCCCAAGCCCTTCCAGGTGGGCATCAGTAGTGCTCCTGGCTGCCACATGCCCGAACAGTGTTGGAGCTGCTCTGGAGCTTATTTGCTGGGATTCCCAAAGGGTCTTGTCTCTGCGGTGTCTTTGGAAAAAAGCTGAAAAACGTTTGTAGCTTTTCCAAAGCCGGTGAAAGGCAGCTGTTGTGCTTTACTTGTGGTGCTGTCAGTTTGAGGTGGATCTGTACCTGAATGAGTCAGCCTGCCAGACTCCCCTGGACTGGGAGTACCATGAGGAGATCCAGAAACTGGAGAAGGCTGGAGGTCGGAAGAACTGTCGCATCTTCACCTACACCGACCACGACCGATTCACCAACCTAGAGGAGGTACCAGCTCTTAGTTACTCAGTGTCTGTCARAATTTCCAGGCCTACTGCAGAGGGAACATTTCTTGGTTCTTGGCCAGGCACATACCCTGAGTGCAGGAGAGCACAGTGCTGCAAAGCAGCTTCACCTGGTGCCCATAGCTGGGGTGGGATGTCCCTTGTTCAGGGCAATGAACAGGACAGCTGGAGCGACTTGGCTCAGTAGGATGCTTGCTAAGTGGAGTTAGCTGTATTTTGCCACCAGAACARTGAAGGAGTTCTACAGTCTTTTAGCAATTTGTCCTTGCATGTGGTTGTGTGCATACCTGTTCCCTCCTCCAAGAGGAGAGCTTGTTTGGACAAGATGTCCTGTTAAGCTAGTTCCTGTCTGTTCTTCCAGCTCTGCCAGAAGGTAACTGACTTGGATAATGAAGTGCCATCGTATCTGGTTGAGAGGATGGCCAATGTAAGGAGGAGAAGACAGGACCGTAGGCCTGCGTAAGTTCAAACTGGGGCTTGGATTTTGTTCATGCAGGTTTCTTGGTGCTGGTGCCCCAGCTGGGGATCAGCCTGGTCCGTGGGGACTGTGGCTTGAGCTGTGTCACACATGGTTCCAGCACTGTAACTCCTCATCATGGGGGATTTGGTGCTGCTGAGGTGAGCTGTGACTGGTGTTGTTCTGTTGTTGACAGAGAAGCAAGTTCTCTGAAGTCAAAAATCATCACCTGGGAACCTTCAGAAGAATTTATAAAGAACAATCATGTAATTAACACACCTGTCCAGACCATGTACATCATGGGGGACTTGGGACCTTATGGGAAGTAAGTAAAATCCTGAAGTGATTATAATTTCCCAAAAGAAAATCCATCTTCCCTCCTTACTCAACGTTCCTGTTTCTTTCATTAGTAAAGGGGAGAGAATTCCAAGAGCTCAGTAACTTGGGCTGCAATTTCTTTCTGCCTCTTTCTTCAGTTGGGAACMGCTGAGTGTATACCTCCAAAAGTCTTCTAAACCAATGTAGGAAGGTGTGGATGTGTTCCCTTCTGTACCCTCAAGTGCCTTTACTATCTCTGCTGTTTCAGAGCACAAGAGTGTCTATGTTCTCGGTTTAGACTGTGTTTTCCTGGTATTCTCCTTTAGGCTTGGTCAGAGGGAGTACGAAAATGTTCTTTGCACAATCAAGGTGGATGGCAATGGGGTAATCACAGTGAAGCCKGACTTCAATGGCAGCAAAGGAGCCTACCGGTGAGTGGGACAGGGCTGGGACCTCTCCTAGGACTGGGGGCTGATATGGYTGTTTCCTGGTCACCCTTTGGGCAGGGGTTCAGCACTTAAATTGAGAAATATTTAATTTATTTCAGGATTTCTAAGAAAATATTATTTTGTGCTTATGGTCTGTGTTACTGTGTGTGAGCTTTGTGAAGCTTTGGTGCAAGACTTTAGAGGTGCAGGTTACTATACAATCGTGGAATGGTGCGGGTTGGAAGGGATCTTAAAGCCCATCTCATGCYACCCCCTGCCRTGGGCAGGGAAAAATTCCACTAGACCACGTTGCTCCAAGCCCTGTCCAACCTGGCCTCAAGCACTTCCAGGGATGGGGGAGCCACAGCTTCTCTGGGCAACCTATGCCAGGGCCTCACCACCCTCAGAGGGAARAATTTCTTTCCAATATTCCATCTAATCCTGTCCTCTGTAAGTTTGAAGCTGTTCCTCCTTGTTCAGTCACTACATCCCTTGTAAAATTATGTTATGCATACGCTGGATGCAAGCAAGTCTCCCATTTTTGAGGGAATGATGCTGGCAGGCACTTGGGAGTGAGGAGAGGGCTGTGAGTGCCATTGTCTCACTGCACAGGCTGGGTGGAGATGACAGTGYTGGATCAGGAGAACCCCATCAATGTCTGTGCCTGTTCTCTACATAATGGGGGAGTTTTTCCTATGTGTTTTGGGACTCTGCAGGATTGAACTGGATGGAGAGCAGCGAGAGGTGTGGGAATACACCATTGAGAATGCGTCTGCCCAGGTGCAGCCAGAGGAGATGGAGCATGAACAGCGTGTGTTCAGAGATGTAAGGAATGGCCATGGAGCATATTCACTAGTTCTTAGTAACAGAGGTGGCTCTGACCCTCATGGAGATGTAACTGCTGGCACTCTGCACACCTGAAGTGACAAAATGTCACTGCCCTGAGCCTCATCATGCCCAGAGATCTGAGTACTACAGCAAATATTTCCTGACTGCTTCATCCCTTATTCCTTATAGAGAGCTCGTCTGTAGCTGTCCTGCCTCTGGCTGCAGTGCTTTAGGGAGTGAGAACTGATGCAAGAAACCACCCAGCTCCATGCTTTCCTAGTGTCACCTACGAGTGTTTTTTTCTTCCCTTCTGAGCAGTGGGCAAACCCTTTCTTTATCTTCCTCTGGCTGCCTGTGTATTTATTCAGTGTCTTGTTACCTCTAGTGTCCCAGGATGTAGGGTTCCCATTTCATGTCTTGATCTTTCTGAATTGCCTTTTTGGCTCTGACAGTTTATAAAAGTACTTTTTTTATTTAGCTTTTAGTTTGTGCATTTCCTTACTGGTTTTGTGATCATCAAGGAAATCATGATTTCACTACACTGATTTCTACCTGGCAATTTCCTTGGTATAGTTTGTACCTGTGTTTTTAAGATGCCATTTAAAATCTGATTCCTCAGAGCTTCTTTTTCCTTAAAACTGGCCTTGGTGTACATCTCTAAAGCTGAAGTATAGTGTTAACAGCTRTGCATCTTTGTTTTATTAGATACTTATATTCTCTATATTTGCTGTAACMATTAACCCCACGTGTGCTAAGCCTYGTAGCAATTTGAGTTTAAATTRTATGCACTTTTATTTTTTCAGTACAACAGATATAATCAAAATGCCACTTTGGTTGTTGTTGTTATTGTGTGTGTGTGTTCCCAGCTGTACGGACGGCACAGGGATTACCTCAGTGGCCTYGTGGGCACAGACTTTGAAATGGTGAGTTCCAGAGGCACTGGCAGGGACTGGACCTCTGTTGTCTCTGGGGCCTGGTGACCTGGCTCTCACAGCTGCCACTTGCACCGCAGTCTCCAAAGAGAGGGGAGGGGTGTTCTGGAGGGGTGTTGGCAGCTTTCACCTTGTGGCTTTGAGCAGAAAATTGAATCAGAAGGGAGAAGTTGCAGTGGATTTGGGGTCTGCAAAGGTCCACCCTGCCCATTCTGGGCCTGCTGAACACTACAGTCTCTGTGAGGCTTCATGCAGTGCCTCAAGGCCTGTGAGTATAGTACTTTGAGAAGGAAGGAGGGTTTATGTCTTCTGGGACTGTGATTGCTGTTAACTTCTTCAGTGTCAAACAGCTCTATGTTCCTTTTTGTGCAAGTAAACAGGTCCTCTCACACCCAGATTCATGCAGTTTCCCTTCTCACTGAATCACCCAAACTGCAATCATTTTTTTCTCAAATATTGTTTGTCCAAACAATGAAAGCTGTGCTTTCTGGTGCTTTGATAGAGTGTCTCAGTGCTTCCCCCTGCTCCCTCACCTTGAACAAATGCTGGAACATGACAGAAGCATTGTCTGATTTCTGAAAGTGACTTCTCACTATGTGTTATATTGACCTTGATATTTGTAAGAGAGCTGTTTACAGAACAGTAAATTCCTGCAGACTGGACTTTTGCGGATTTGGTCTCTTTAGAGCTTCTTTCCAGAGGAGCTGTTCACTTCTGGAAGTGATAGGAAAAATCATGCTTCCTCCCTGGCCAGAACAGTAAATCATTAATGTCCAAACACCCATGAAATACCTGTGTGARATACTGTTGGAAAGGAATTGTTGAGGTTGCACCATTGGTTGTTGAGCTTTTTATCTGGTTTATCTGCTAATTTTTCCAGCCTCTTCCTGGTACTCTGAGACTTCTTGTGAATGGAGAAATAGGTGAGTCTTTATTCTAAACAATAATAGGGGCAAATGTGGGTGTGCTGGGATGGCTGAGGGTATGATCCAAGGATTCTTRGAACGTAGGCCAGTCCAGAATAGGTGATTCTCTCCCTGGAATTCTTTACTTCCTCTTTCTTCTCCCTGTTTTCTTGAGAGGCATTTACAAGTTGGAGGTTACAGATTCTGCAGCTGTTCTAAGAAGGCCTAGATCTTAAAAAAGGAGAGTAGATTGCTATAATCTCTATTAATTTCCTAAATTTAATTAAATGTATGACATCCCTCATCTGGTTAGTGATACAGGGACAGGGCTAGTCTGGAGAGGGAATCTTCTCTGTGGGTCATTTCCTGTTATGTTGAAGACCATGGCTTTTACCCATCTTCTAGCAGTAACTGATTTTCCTTGAGGTTATTGATGGTGGCTCTCCTAAAAATCTACTTGGTGTAGAATGAAGGAAGAGTTTGTGCRAAAGCAAACAGCTGAAGTTCATTTTCTCTTTTCAGTTTCAGCTCAAGGCTATGAGTATGACAACCTTTATGTACATTTTTTCCTGGAGCTGCCTAACCGTGAGTATTTACGTTCCCAGGCACATGACAGCTGTTAAAGTGTTGAAACAGTTTTGGCTGGTCCATCAGACCAACTCTGCTGGGAGTCAGCAAAAGTTAATGTTGGGGCTGGGATCTAGTCAGAAGCCTTCAGAGCTAAAATGGCAGAACTCAGCTSAGGCTGGGATGTAGAGGTGGTGGTGGCCAGTCTATCCAAACCTCATTCCTTATCCTGCAGCAAACAGTCTTCCTGTGCTCCCCATCACAGTGAGCTTGTCTGATTTTGGTGCTTGTCATCATGTTTTGTGCTGRCATTAACGTATTAAATTTGGATGGACAAATGAGGCTCCTAGCACTGACATGCACATCCTGCTTCATGTTTAGTTCTCCTGAAGCTATGGCTCTGGSTCCTCTCTCTGGATATATCTGTCAAGATACCACTTCTGCTACTCAGTACATTTAGATAAGGCTCTACTTTTCTCTTGAGATGAGTTGGTGCTTTTCATGGRCARTTYGGGGTGTKCTAAAAAGCAGTGCCTGGAACAGGRCAGGGAAAAGTCATATGAGGAATGGMTTGCGGGGGGACTGGAGAAAGAGGAGGCTCAGGRGGCACTTTCTCACTCTCTATRGCTCCCTGACAGGAGGGTGCAGCCAGGTGGGGGTTGGGCTCTTCTCCCAGGGAATAAGGGACAAGACAAGAGGAACCAGGAGAGGTTCAGGTTGGATATTAGGAAGAATTTCTCCATGGAAAGTGTGGACAGACATTGGAAGTGGCTGCCCAGGGGCATTGGTGGAGTTCTAATCCTTGCAGGTGTCCAAGGAGTGACTGGATGTGGCACTCAATGCTCTGGTAGGGTTGAYAAGGTGTRGATCGGTCAGAGGATGGACTCAATRACATTGGAGGGCTTTTCCAACCTTAATGATTCTGTGATTCTGTGAATGTCAGGGTGGRTGATGTTATTTGCTACCCCAATCATCAGGGGCTGATATTCTCCTTTGAGCTGCTCTGGTTTGTGAGTTTTGTCTCACACCAAGTCTTCATATTTTGTCCTCCCAGGGTGGTCAAGCTCCCCGTTCCAGCAGCTCTCAGGAGTGACGCAGACCTGTGCCACAAAGAAAGTGGGCTGGGTAAGGACACTTTCAGACCTGCAGAGCAATTTGAAAAGACAGTCTCTGGAGTGGAACATGTGTAACAAACTACAGATATATTCAGCAAAGGTCCTGAGTTGAGGGCTCCTTTAAGAGCATAGCATGTTTGGGATTCTCCTTATTCTAATTACACCTGACATTTTTCCAAAGTCCATATAAAACTAGACCAAATACAACTACTACAAAGCATTTTCTGGAACCTCACTTTTTTTCTTCATTCTTGCTGACTGTTTGCTTTTGGAGCTTTGAATTTTGTGTTCTCCAATGCTCTGAGTTAACCAAGCATTGTTCCAGCTTGCCTGGGGCAAGAATGTGCAGAGACTCTACAYTGGTTTTCCAAAATGAAGCCTGTTTTTATATGGGAAGTTGGTTCCATTGCTGTCTCCAGCTCCTCTCTTACAAAATTTGGATTTTATCAGCTTTTTAATGTATTTTATATGATTTCACATTAYGTAAATAATCACCATACAACGTTTCATTAATACCATTGTTAGAGCTACTGTGCTTTGCTTGGCTTCTGTAAAGATTGTGGCTGCCCAGTAGTTATGCAAGTGACTGAGTTTTCATTTGAGGTGTGTCACTCCCCTTTCCCATCATTTTCAACASCCTGTTCCATCAACATGGCACTAGGGAGTGTATTCAGGTCTGTCCTGCAGCCAAGTGTTTGTTAGTGGAATGTGATTGATCCTTATAGACAGCATCACCTGCTTTCCACCATTAGTTCCTTTTTCCCTGCTCTCTATGCCCTCTGCAATGCTGGTGATGAATTCTCTTTTTCAGGAATCTGATCTCTGCCCTGTTCTTTTTCTAGGAGAACGTGGCATACTTCTGCTACCCCTTCACTGTGGAGATGTTTTATACCCTAGAAAATGAAGGTGTGTTTCCTTGTTACTCTGAAATCCTTTGATCCCACTGTAGCTATCATACTGTTTGGCCTGCTGGAGATGAAAGGACAGAGGGAAATGTTTCTGGTTCAACAAAAGTTCACCCTGTCACCACAGAGCCCCTGGACACATCCTATGTTTGCCCTGCCCAGGAAACCAATGGTGTTTTATGGATTCGTTTGTGTTGCCTTGTTTCCAGACTGTAGGCAGCTTTATCTGGAAAACTACCTGGGTTTGGCTTGTCTCTCTTTAAACCTGGTGTGCAGGGCAATGTTGCTGTGCCTGGTGTGCTGCACAGAGCCCTGGGATGCTGCAGCAGGAGAACCAGGCATCTTTTTGTACACAGCTAAAACTCTGTGCTGAGATTTACATTTGTAGACACACTCAGTGACCTGTATAATCCCTGTATAGTTCATGTCACTTTGAAACTTCAGCTCTATTTCAAGCTGGGCTTCTCTGCTGCCTGTTCCTGCTGCTTCCTCAGCAATCCTATCGTTCTGTGGGTGCAATTGCTAGGGACAGCTCTGTGGCATGCCTTGACACTTGAATCCAATGTACACTTTGGATTTGKGTATTCAAGCAGCACTAATGAATTTTCAGACTAGAAGAAACACAATGACTTTGTTTCACTGTGGAAAAAAAATAAATGTTTTGAGAGGCGTAGGAGAATCCAAGTTAATATTCCCCCAATAGCAGTGGGAAAGGTCAGAGATAAACAGGTTCCCCTGTTTGGCTTCAGATCATTCATGAAAGGTTGTTTTGTCTGCTTAAAAGTAACTGACAGCCCAGTCTGGACTTGGTCTTAAATAATTTTCCCTAATTTTTAACATCAATAATTCTGTTTTCAGCCTCAAATCTGAGGGTTCAACTTTTACAYRGGAAACTAATTAACCATAAATCTTWGTTAGCCATTGTAGAAGAAATACAGAAAGGACTGTGGTGGAAGGGTGCTGTAGTGTGTCCAGAGAGGAAACAGAACTGGGGAAGGGTCTGAAGCACAAGGAGTGGTTGAGGGAGCTGAGGGAGCTCATCCTGGAGAAAAAGAGGCTCAGGAGGGCCTTCTGACACTCTACAACTCTGTGGCAGGAGGGTGGAACCAGTTGGGGGTCAAGCTCTACTCCCAAGGAACAAGGGGCAGGACAAGAGAAAACTTTAAGTTGTTCCAGGGCTGGACACCAGGAGGAATTCTTCATAGAATGGGTGTCAGGCATTTAAAGGGGCTGCCCAGGGAGGTGGTGGAGTCCCCATCCCTGGAGGTGTCCAAGGAATGACTGGACATGGCCCTCAGTGCTCTAGTCTGGGTAATGAGTTGGGGATTGGTCATAGGTTGGACTCAATAATCTTGGAAGTCTTTTCCAGGCTAAATGATTCTCTGATTCTTGGGCTTCCTACTAGTGGAGGTGGGCATTTAGCATATTTTTTCTAGTGATAGCCTTCTTTCCCAAATCTGTGACCTGCTCCCCATCTTGCAGACAGTCTCCCTGAGTGGCCTGTTCTCTACTTTGAGGTCCTATCCCTGGATTTCTGGCAGAGGTATCGTGTGGAAGGATATGGGTCCTTGGTGCTGCCAGCATCTCCAGGTAAAGCATCCTTGGGACACTGTGTCAATTGTCTGGGAGAATGAATTGAGTGGTTCTCTTGGGAAGTGATTCAGTCCCAGGGATTCAGTGTACTGAAAGGAGCAGTCAGCTGTCTGGGGGGCAGCAAAGAAGGATGTGAGGCAAACCTTGAGTTGCTGTCCTTGTTCCTTTGATATTGCCATCACAATGTCTAGTGTGATTAGGCTCTGGGGTGATACTGCACATCCATCTTTACAGTGGCAGTAGCCCTCTGTGTCCCACGTGGGATCTGGGAGTGACTCCCCATGTGTTATGAGGAAATGCTGCAATTGGACTGGGGGTACTTTCAGCACTGGCTGTGTGACTAGAATGAGCTGACTCATTAGGAAAATCAGAACATTTCTGATACTGTGTAGTGTTTCCATTTCCAGCCATCTCTGGATTGGGTCAGTAGGTATCCTCCTGCCTTGCTGTCCTCTGTGACTGAATAAATCACAAGTCACAGCAGCTAAGCTGTCCTCATGTCCTGGGCCAGGTGTCCATGTGCTCACCATCCCTACCTGGCGTCCTGTGGAACTGGGAACTGTTGCTGAAATGAGAAGGTTTTTCATTGGGGGATCTCCTGAGCTGGAGGACTTAACCTACATCCGGATACCATCAACTTTCAAGGTGGGCTCAGCTGCAGAGCAGTCTCTTGCCAGAACAGGGTTGGTGCATTATGCTCATGGGTTCACCATGGACCAGATTTTAGCAAGGATGAGCTGGTAGTCTTACCCCTCTCACTGAAGAAATGTCTCTGTGAGTCTTGTGGTGCCTGAAGAGAGGAATGGGCAAGCACTGAGGCAGAGCTGTTCATTCTGAGGGGTGAGCAGCTTAGGGAAGTGGGGAAGCATAGAACGAAGTCTTAGCTTACCCCTGCCTATAAAGTGTCAGATCAGCATTTGGTATGAGCTGTAGACTTCTCCTGGGTTTCTGTAAGGAATTTGGGCTGTATTGTGCCTTGAACAGCTTCCTGAATCAAGAAGCCAATGGGTGTGGAGGCATACAGAAACTTCATTTTCTTCAGAAAGTTGCAGAGATGTCTGCTGGTCTAATGAGCAGGTGGTGTTAGTGGCAGCTTTGTGTGGGAACAAGCCCTGTAGCTGTTGCTGAAACCCTCCCCCAGCACTGCACTGTCAGCTTTCAAGTGTTCTGGGTCCTGCCCTCAACACAGCCTGGAATTACCTGCCCTTCTTTCTAACCTTGCAAGGGAAAGACTGTGCCCACAGGAGTTTGTGCTCTGGTGGAACACACTTTTTTTTTTTTTTATTGTGGGGTTACTCTAATCTGTGCCATTCCTGCAGGGAAAGCGTTTGAGCCGCTTTGGTTTCCGGACACAGACCACAGGGAGCGTCACRTTCCGGCTCTATTGCCTGCAGCAGTCTAAGTGAGTGCAGCTAAGGGAGTGTGAGCTCCATAAACTCCATCTCCTGTGYTGATTTTGCCCTGACCTGCTGCTGTGCTTCTGTGCAGAGCCTTTCTGGAGAACAGTGCTCTGAGGCAGCGCATGCAGAGTGTACTGGACCGACTAGGAGGCTTCAGCCAGCAGAGCTCTGTCTACAATGTTCTGGGTAGGGCCTTCAGTGTCATWCTGTCTTGGTGAGCTTTGGCTCACTTTTGTCCCCTGTTTACAGAGTGGGCAGGATATTTCAGGAGAGTCCATTACTCTGGGGGTAATTCCCCTCCCTGTGACCTCTCAGAGTCCATGGCGGAGGTTAAATGTTCTGCTCTGAGCTGGAAACTTCAGCAGGCACCAGCTCTGACCAGGGAGGAGGGATAACCACTGTGTGAGGGCACAGCCTGGACTGGGCTGCCCAGTCTTGCCTGGCACTGAGCAGAACTGGTACACAGGCTCTCTCTGATTCTRTTGTGCACAGAAATCAGAGACCAGATGGTCAAGCAGCACCAGGTACTTTGGTGGTAGAACTTAATTTATAGGAAATAGGACTCTTGCACCAAGAAAGATAATATCCATTGAAAAGACACATACCTCTACTTCYCTAAGGCTGTCTTATGCATTCTGGCCTCCTGTCACCCTTGTGTTGTAGAGGCTTTCCAGCGGGCACGGCGCCGGATGCAGGATGCGCGGGAGAGCCTTCCACAGGACCTCATCAGCACTTCTGCCTCTTCTGTGCCCCAGCCCCTGGAGCCATGAGTGTCACCTCTGCTGCCTGGAGCACTTGGCATCCTCCCTCCAACACAAGCTCCCACCCCTCAGCGGGAATCCCACTGCTGGTGTCTGGAAGCTTCAGAAGCCTTTCCTTTGTTGTTTTCCCTGGATGAGGGAAGGAGTCTGTAACCTCCAGATCCAGAATCCTTGCATTTCCACAGGTATCTATGGAAGGAGCCCTGTTTTTCAAGGCCCTTTATTACCAGGCTCTAACAATACAGCCAAATTTTCTYAKTTTTTCTGAAATACTGACATGGAAYCTGTGATCCCTGTAACAYSTTTTCAGGGATTGAAAAGGAAATAATGAGAAGAATTAACGTGACTTGGTAAATTTAGTTTTGTTCTTAAAGAAGAGGGTGACGTTGAAGGTCAAGGCATGGATGCTGTTTGAGATTAATAGAATGAGTCAATAACTTCTTGACAAGTGCTGATAATTGTGTTAGCTGTTGTGTACAGGGCAATCAGTAGTAAAATTAATCCATCCATCTCTGCTGTAAGACTGATTCATTCATAGAGAGCTCTCTGCCACATGTAATATTTGAAATTAAAGCAAAGGAAGACRGATGGAGAACTGGACAAAAGGGTTACATTCTGCATTTCACTGTGTGTGCCCATAAGGTCTGGCTTTGTGGTTGTGAGCAGGAAGTTTCTTTGTTCAGGAATACTATTGAAAATGCACCTTCCTTTTAGTTCACCACAGAGCTTTGGCTGGAGCTGGAAGGTTTGCAGACAGTGAGAGCAGCTGATAACGTTTGCACAGCAGCTGAACTTTGAACTGTTCAAGCTGTTCATTTGAGGTTGGTGTTTGTTGGTGGTTCGTTGTTGCATCTCTGATTGCAGAACACTGTGGTGCTTCCTGGGGAAGCTTGTGTTTACCCGCTCTTTACCCAGTTTCTTTTCCTGTTCTTTCAGTTTTTTGCCTGTATTTTTATTTCTGTCTTGAGAGGAACACAGCTCCCTGCAGACTGACAATGCTGTGCTGGTTTGTGCCCATGTGTTTTCTGTTCCAAACAGAGGATGGGAACAAAAATCTCAGGTTGAGACCATGCAAGTTCAAATGTGTCTGTGAATTTAGAATTCAGAGGCAGTATATGAAATATGAATTGGCCATCCTCCTTTTGCTCTGCACATTCCTCATTCACAGGGAACATGAGACTCATGTTGCAGCCATGTCTGTGGTTGTTTGAACATCCCCTTACTCCCTGGTGCTCCATTGTCTTCCTCACTCCCTTTTTGCCGTATTGATCTTGCCGCGGTCTTCAATGAGGAAAAAAACTCCAACAAGGAGTCAGCAACTCTCAGAATTTGTTCTTCTCTAACCTTTGCTGTAATTCCTAGAGTGAACACCCCAGATTCCTGTCTGTCTGGCAGTTTGAATCTGTCTGGCAATTTCAATCATATGGAGATTTTTTTTCACCTTCCTTGCCTGTTGCCCCTCATTTTAATGGAGGAGGCTGAAAGGATGTGTGGAAGTGTGGCCTGTGCTGCAGAGCAGTATCCTCGGCCTGGAGCTGGGGGATGTGCCTGGTGCTGATGTGATGACTCTGGAGGCACCACACCTGATGCTGGGGCAGCAGCATTGATCTTTCTGTTCTATCATGGTCTGTAATGACTGACCCAGGATGAAAAGCATTCAGTGAGTATGTGGCACTTATTATCTCTTTATTTTAATCATTATTCATGTTATGTCCTTGTGTATTTAATCACACCGTTCTGAGTCTTTTTGTGGTGCTTATCACCAATAGCTGAACTGCATCTCCCTGAAATGCTTCTCAGGATGGATGTAAAAGGTTACAAGAATATTTTTTTTATCAATAAAGGTTTAAAACACCTTTTGGATTGAGATGTCAGTGGCAGATCCTGTTAAAGTGGAATTTTCTGATGAGGTTGGGTTCCTGACTCACTGCCCAGTTATATGGCAAGATTTAGTGTACTGAGCTTAAGATGCACTAAGATTTACATAATTACATTATTTTGCTACTTAAAACTCTGAATTGAGAAACTCAGGAGAAAAAATTTAATATTAAAAATTACTAGAACCAAGCAAGCAATTCTTCCACAGTAAAATACTGCAGTTCTTTATTGTTGTACTTGCAGCCTCCTTGGCCTGACAGAATAAAGTAGTGCTGGTAAAAGCTTGTTTGAAGAGACGCCTCAGCAAATGCTCTTTGAATTTGCCCTTTTATAAATTAAACTAGAAGATTTCCATATACATGTACATGTATGAAAATGTCACTGATCTTTTAGTCACAACTGACATTTGTGCTCCGAGCATGCCAAGGAGTCTGGCCTGAAGAAGAGATTGTGCTTCCACCAAGTATGCGCAGCTGGAACTGGAGATCCCCAAGTTGATTAGAGGGATGAAACACCTTTGTTAGGAGGAAAGGCTGAGAGAATTGGGATTGCTCAGCCTGGAAAGGAGAGGGCTTTAGGGTCACCTAACTGTGGCCTTCCAGTACCCAAATGGAGCTGACAAGGAAGAGGGAGGAGAAACCATTTACAAGGGCCTGTAGTGATAGGACAAGGGGGAATGACTTTCCASTGACAGAGGGCAGGGTTAGGTGGGTTATTGGGAAGAAACTCTTCCCTGTAAGGGTGGTGAGGTTCTGGCACATATTGCCCAGAGAAGCTGTGGCTGCTCCATCCCTAGAAGTGTTCAAGGCCATGTTGGATGGGGTTTGGAGCAACCTGGTCTAGTGGAATTTTTCCCTGCCCATGGCAGGGGACTGGATTAGATGAGATTTAATATCTCTTCCAACCCACACCATTCCATGAATCTATGACTCTATGGCTCAAGTCGGGTTGTGCATTCACCAGGGGTGCACAGGTGGGGAGCTGAAAGGAGGTGGGCACTGGGGACAGTCAGGAGGGGAGAGCAGTGCCCTCCCTAGAGCCATGAGGAGTTCACTGCATGGAAGTGTCCCTACAGTTCTTACTGGAGGGGTGCCCATACAGGGAAACTTGACAGGAAAAGTGAGAGGAAGGACTGTTGTGCATGCACAAGAGCTTGGGCTTGCATTAATGAGTCGGGGGAGCCCTGAACTGAAGTGGGAGGACAGGAGGAGCCTGCAGCAGGTACAGACCAGGAATTGCAGATACTTGGGGATCCTAGAGTGGATCTAGCAGTGAGACTTGGGCGTCTGTGCATGGCTGGCAGACCACCAGCTCTGGCTACACCAGCTGCAGAAGTGTAGCTGATTTCTCCAGGGCTTTATCTGCTTCTTCCTTTGAGCAGACTGGAGCTATGATGGGTTTTTGAGATCCAGCTGAACTTCCAGCTGAATGGGCATCTGTCTGAGGCTGAATCCAGCAGCCTTACTGGAGCTTTGGGCTACATGGGGGCAGGAGTCAGCCCAAAGCCCCTCAGGGCCTTCCAGGGTCGAATTGAATAAGCTATGCAAACAATAGGGAATGGCAGGAATGATAGCTTGGTGGAGGAAAAGGCTGTGGACTGTTGACAGAGCCTGCATAATGCAAATCAGCATCCATTAGAAATTCCAGTGTAAATGTAACAGAAAAAGAAAATATAGAGATGAGTCATTCACGTGATTAGAACAGCTTTCCACCAAAGACCTAAGGAAKGGGTTTTGGTCTCAGTGGAGGAAGATTTGGGCTGTCATAACTCCAAACTGGGGATGTGCCAGGAAACCTCAAATGGCGTTTTAGCTTGCCCCCATCCCAGGGCTGGGGATGTGCACCAGGAGTTGCATCCCTACTTTGTGAAAAATGCTGGGATATGGGAATGTGTACCAGAGGAGTGTTTGAGGACACTGGGAATGTGCATAAGGAAGAATGTTGGACAAGGCTGTTGGGCATCAGGAAAGGATTTTGAGGAGGACAGTGGAATGTGCAGCAGGAGTGGTGTTTGGGAAGGATGTTGGGATGTGCACCAAGATGGGGGTTGGGATGTGTGYGCAGTGGAGCTGCCAGCTCTGGGCAGAAGGAGCTGCAGCAGGACTTTGTCCTACAGAGATTTGTCTTGCCGCTGCCTGGCATGTGCAGAGAGGAGGAGTATTTTATTTGCAGCACAGGGTTTAAGTGGTTGTTATTAAATCACTACTGGAGGTTGTTTGTTGGATCAATATATTTTAATTTTAGCCACGGGGTTGGAGTAGCCAAGGAAGACTCCCAGCAGCAAATGGAAGTTCWGGGCTGCTTTGCCTCTCACCCCTTGCTGCCGTTTTATTAATGCTCATTGTCTTCCCAAGGTGCAGTTCACATTSTCTGCAGTAAATGCCAATAGTTCAATGCACAGCAGAGTAAAGCTGACCTAAACAAAATCCCACTTCATTGGATCAGTGAAGAAATAAGTGTGCATGTGCCCTGTTCCTTCACTGGAATGATTGGTTTGGTTTGATTGAATATYCCTCTCTGCTTTGTGTCAAGCAGGTTTTTAAGTGAACCCTAGTGCCGTGTAGGTTGGAGATGCTTCCCTATCTCATCTGTCAAAATAATTTTCTAGAGTAACACAGAATATCAGAAAGGACTGACAGAATCAGACTTCTCTGTAATTTATTCACTAGTTCTCGTACTTAAAAATAAAATCATCTGACTTCCACAATACTTGGCAGGATTTCTACAATGTGTGAAAGTGAAACTTGTCTTTTAGGTGTACGATTCCAGGTTGTTGCAAGCTTTCCAGATCTGAGAATGAGAGGATCAGCTTTTGGGAAGGTGGGAAAGGTGGGTTTTCCATGACTTAGTGTGGCCTTAGAAAGCCAGAAAGGTCAAGCTGAATATCAAGGTCTAATGTACAGCTTTTCTTCAGGCAGTGTAACAGATGAGAGATGCTCATCTGTAAAAAACCTGGGAGATGTTTTTCAACCTGTTCCTTACATAAAGACAGAGAATACTGATCATCCCTATCACATGTTTTCATTTTCTGAAGGAAATTTTCCTGTGCAGAGCATTGGCAGTGGCAGCTTGTGCCTGAGTGTGTTGTCAGGCTGCTGCTGAAGGCATGAGGAGATGAAGTAAGCCTGTGATTCCTTTTAGGTAGTGATTGTGGTATTCCTGTCCCACACTGCCATTGCCTGGGAGATCTTGTTCCTCTGCTCATGTGCTTGTGAGCGCCATGATGCTCTTATGGCTCTGGACATAGGATCGGGAATGAGAGACCAGACAAGCTGTAGACAAGGGAATGGCCACTTTTCCTATCGCTGCTGGAAATACCAAGCACTTGTAATATTCAATTTTTTTCCACTACAGATGTGCTGAAGAGGGCTGATTGCCTTTCCTTCTCCTTGGTCTCTTTTTCCTTTGTTTCCCTTTTTYTGTCCCATTTTGACTTTTTCAGCCACAGGACACAACTCTTCCCAATTTCCCACCCCCATCCAATGCCTTTCTGAGTGCCCTGCCTCAGCTTCTGCAAGTTATGGCACAGTTCCCCTTCCTCCCAACATCATCTCCCTGTTTGCTGATGTGAACTTGCCCCAGAGTTGGGACAGGAATCCCGTCTCTGGAAAGACATGGGACAACATATTCCCATCCTTGGACACATGGGATTAYAGCTTGTGTTAACTGTCCAAAAGCAGCTTTTAATGGCTGTTGGCATGGAGACAAGCATTTGGAGCAATCACCACTGGCATATGTGCTTCCCTTGAGCAGGGAGAGGGAACCTCCAGCTGGATCCACTTGTGAGTGTGGTCATATGGACCTTTCCCTCTGCTGCTCCTGCTCTCCCTGGCATCTCCCTGTGGGCATTGARTGGGATGAGGGATGTGTCTCTCTTGCAGGGAGGTGGTGTGGAGTGGCCCATCCCACTCACCCTTTCATTGTCTCTGAGATCCTGTCTCTCCTATGCCACAGGTCTTTGCAAATTATTTTTGGAAGCTGTTTCAGGATCTCTGTCTTGTCCCTCCACACGGAATAGTGTCCCTGAAGTGACAGCAGTGACTGAAAATGAATGAATGAGCAACTTTGGGTTTCTGCTCTGCAGCCAAGCTGCTGGCTCAAGGCTGCACTCTGAATTTCCACCATGTTTGCACTGTCAGCCTCACTCTGAGCCCAGCACTTGCTTTTCTCTGTGTTTTTGTTGAGGATTTATTCTGCACCCCCTTGTGTGTATCTGAAGCCTTCCATAGGCAGTTGAGGTTCTGTGTCTCCTGATGGAGGCAAGTCCTTGGGAATGGCACAATTGATCTTGGATCCGCTACAGCTGCACTGGCCATGCTCTGTAGCCTCTACTCAAAACAATTCTGCAATTCCTCATGTGTCCTTGGGTTTCTGTGCTGCATTTTGGGCTGCCTGACACCTGAAAGTCCATTGATACACCAAGTGCTGCAGGCACAGGTGGTGTTCCAGCAAGCTGTTACTCAGGCTCCCTGGATTTGCAAGCCCCTGTTGTTTGTAGCACAAGTGAGGAGCTGTCTGACCCTTTCCATGAGTCCCTGCATCCCCAGGGCTCTTGGCAGACCAGTCACCCTACAGCCATGTCTCAACTCTTGGGGTCAGATCCTGYTCTTTCCCTTGTCTCAGCTCCTGCCACATAGCAGAACCCTGAAGCAGGTGGTGGCAGCCAGCACAGAGGGGCCCTGCAGGCCTCCCTGGAGGATGGAAACTGGAAATGGAAATGCTGTTGTGTAGCAGGCAGAGAAGTTTTCCAARTAGGAATGTTGGCTTCCACAGCACACCATGGAGCTCAGAAGAGGAGGACAATGTTTKTTCATGAGCCTCTTGATGAGGTCTGGCTAAAAAGGTCCTTCAGATGGAGGTGAGGGTGTGCTTGAGAAGCACAAGGTCTGGGGTGGAGGAGTGTGCGGATCTGTCCTGCTTTCGTAGCCCAGTGTTAGTACCGGAGATCTGCCCAGTGTGCTGAGCTGTGGCAGTATGGAGAGAGCCAAGCATGGGGCCACAGCAGTGGCACAAGGGGCCAGCAGGATGAGCTATCAGCCTTAGCTYTGGTATGGGAAGGTGCTCAGTTTGGTAATAGTCAAATGCAAGGTTGGACTCAACCCCAGTCTCAGCTGGGGCAGCCAGAGCATGGTGTCATGGCTCTGTGGAGAGACCAGGACAGAGAGCTGGGGCTACATCTTCATCCTTCTCATATGCCTTGTGAAARGCTGAGCATGGAGAGCATGTGACACAAGGAGCCAGAGCATGGAGAATGTGGGAGACATGGAACCGTCTTGGGAATGGCCTCTTCTTTTGAAAGGATGCTGAGAGRTGTTAGGGGAGATGAAACCTCATGCTGGGCACTGGAGGGCTGCTCTGACACCAGACAAGGTCTTTCCCTGGCAGTATGAGGGTGGCTTTGTACATTCTTCTGTAGGTGAGACCATCCCTGGCACTGGAGTGATTCACAAGGACAAGGTCTGTGTCCCCCTCGTTGGGGTGGGATGAGCCTGTGCCCTAACAAGTTGCAGTAAATAARTGCAGCACCAACAGGGGAAATGCTGTGCCCATCACCTGAGCTGTGCCTGGGACCTGACCTGTGCCCAGCACCTGAGTGCTGCCCAGTGCTTGAGTTCCACCAGTGAGACCTCTCAGCACTGTGGGGTCCTGCTCCTGCACTCCCAGCTGAGGTGCCCACAGGTATCCTTTGACATCAGAGCTCTTTAAAGGCACCTGGATGTGATGGCCAAGAAMCTTGTTCCTGTTCTATTTCTTGGCGTGTAAGAAGCTGGTTTTCAAGCTAATACATGTCTATACTGGGAGCAGGAGTTTCAAATCTCTGGAAGGGAKCTGGTCCCTTCCCCTGCAGGAAGCCTTGACCTTGATGGTCCTAGGTTTCCAGGGAAGCCCAAGGGCAGCATTATGGAGAAGGATCCAGGTTTGTGTGAGGCAGTGGAGCAGCTAGCTGGGAAGAGGAGGASGCTCCTCCTGGGGGCATTGGGCTTGGGTGGGCAGGGGTATGGCTGTACAGGCTGAACCGTGAGCCATCYGTGGGGATCCCGAGGGAAGTTGGAGAAGGTGCTGAGGCTGAGGAAGTGCTCAAGCACTGAGSTGCTGGCACCAGGCAGGACTTTGGCCAATCTGCACCTGCTCTGGCATCCTCTCCTGCATGAAAGGGAGTGCAGTTGTGTGTGCAGTTGTGGGTTTGGGGACAGAATTTGCACTGCTCTTGAGGGCACCTGGTGGCAGGAGAGAAACTTCCTTAATGTGTCTGTCCAGCCTCCACAGGAGAAGGACWCGGAGCAAGGAGAAGGTGTTCTCCCAGCCTGGGCTGTTGGAAGAGCTCATGSTGCTGACAAGCAGAGGGAGTGACATGTCTTTTGGAAATCTACAGCACTCCCATCACTTGAGTGAATTAAGCCAGATCCTGGTGCAAGGAACTGTCCCACTGATGGGATTTGCAATAAAGCTCCTCTGCCCACTTGGAAGGGAGTATGGAGAGACACTTGTGGGAAGGGGAGCCCAAATACTGCCTGGCTGGGTCCCTTCCRGGACCAACCCACCCCACACAAATCCCATCCACACAAGCCTGGGGGAGCACAGAGGCACGAGGGCAGATGGGTACCCAAATGAGGGACTCAAAGGAAAGGACACCCTGTCCACGTAGAGCCTCAGCCCRGGGCACTGGTGTGAAAGCACCGTTGGAAAGAGAGGAGCTGTATCTGTCTGGAAGAATGGAACATTTTTGGGATGTGGAGGACTGCACAGTTTATTATGGGATGTTTTAGAGAGAAAGCAAAGGCGGAAAAGGGATGGATGCGGGTAATTCGGGGAAGAACACGTGTGGGACAATATGGGAACGTTGGGGCGGCCCTGGTGTAACCCGGTGCTGTACCGGGGTGAAGACCTCTCCCGGAGGAGAGGGACGGAGCCCGAACCCCGCCCCGCTCTCGCCCTCCCCGAGGGTACAGGGGACCGACTCCGCAGGGTCCGGCTGGAGCCACCAGGGGGAGCCGCGCCCCGAGCCGCGTCCGGAGCCCCGGCCGCGTTCACCTTTGGGGGCACGGGAGGGGCTTGTGCGTGCGGGGTGAGCGGGGCTGTGCTGCGGCAAGTGGGGCTGTGCAGGACAGTGCAAGACAGTGCGGGACAGTGGGGTGGAGTGGAGATGTGCGGGGCGAGCGGGGTCTTGCATGGTGCGWGGGGCAGTGCCCAGGGCTGTGAGAGGTGAATGGGGCCACGCGGGGTGCTGTGCGGTGTGTGCGGGGTATTGAGGCGTGAGTAGAGCTGTATACAGGGTGACCTGCGCTGGGTTTGGCCGTAACACCCGCGGGGAGACCACCAGCCTTTGCACCAAGTGTCCCCCAACAGCGGGCACCCCAGGGATGCTGGACACGTGCCGGACTGCGGGAACTGCCACCCGTGGCCCTGCGGCTGGATCCAATGGCCCCAGGACCTGCAGGAACGTGCGGGTGCGGGCTGTGGGAGATCCCGCTCCTCTCTATCCCTGGGAGCCGGGAGGCACAGGGGTGTCCCCCCGACACTGCCAGTTTCCCCAAAAACGGCAAACTGGCAGCATCTCTCTGAGCCATGCTGGCACTTCTCTGCTCACTGCGAGCCTGGGTCTGGGGTCCTCAGGGTGGATCCCACAACATCCCTTGCCTGTCCCCAGRATGGGGGTTAAAGTGAACCCACCTTGTTGATGCCCCCAAACCTTGCTGGACCCCCAGCAYCACTGTCACCGCTCCAGGGACACCCAAGGGTGACCCTGTCCTTGGGGCTGCGTTGCTGTGCAACCCCTCCACACCCTTAAGAGCACCCTCATGTGATGCCCCACAGGTATGACCTCCCTAGGTGTGATCCCTCACGATGTTATTCCCAGATGTGACTTCCTCCTATGGCCTCCCCAGGTGTGATCCCCCCCTCCGATGTGATGCCCCCAGGGATGAGGTCCTGTAGGTGTGACCCCTCCCCGAGAGACCCCTTCCCCGAGATGCCCCCACCTGTGAGGTTCCCTAGGTGTGACCCGCAGCTGTGGCACTTCATTTGCGCCCCGGCGCGACGACCCCCGGTGACATCCCTTAGCTGTGACCTTCCCAGCTATGCCCCCCCGCCTCTCCGCGCCTATCCCGGTCGCCTCCCCGCGATGTGAGACCCCACATGCCGCCGCTTCGCAGTGCCATCCGAGGTGTGAGGCTCCCCCCTGCTCGTCCCCTCAGGATGGAAGGGTCCCCCCGGTGTACCCCGCCCCTCTCCGCGCATGCTCCGTGCGTGCTCCGTGCTCGCCCCTCCCCGCGCTCCGGCCGTTCCTAGCGGCGGCGGCGGCGGGGCAGGATGAAGGACCGGACCGGGGAGCTGCGCGCTGTGAGTGCGGGGCGCAGCCGGCGGCTGCGGGGAATACGGGGCTTGTGGGTGGCCCTCTGCCCTCATCGGGGACCGCCCGAGGCCGTCCCGGCCCCCCCTTCCCGGGCTGGGGCCGCCCTGCCGCGAGCGGCGGCGGTGGCGAGGGGGGCTGGGCGRAGGCTGAGAGCAGGGGATGAGCCCCCAGCACATCGCCGGGGTATCGGGGTGGGAGTGGGGTCTCCCGGGCTGCGCGCTCCGCATCGCCGCGGACCGCTCTTTTTCTCACCGGGCCCGGGCGGTGCAAGCAGCGAGCGCTGCCACGGGGGACTCGATGTGCGCGGTAGCCGGTGGCCGCGGCGTCTGAGCAGTATCACCTCTGGGAAAACCSGAGAGAGACGTGTATTTGTGCCGGTGCGGGCGGGGGGCTGCCCCCGGGCGGCAGGGTCGTGCCGTGCTCGCCTGGGGCCGTGCCGCGCCCGCCCCGCTCCGCTCTGGTTTTGCGTGTTCATCCTTCGGCGCAGCCGCTGCGGCGGGGCTGAGGAGCGCCCGCGGCCGCCCCTTCGCGGGAGACCCAGCGGGTGCCCCCAGTGCCGTGACCGGGGTTATGCGGGGGTTGTCGGGCTTTGTGTACGGCTGCAGCCGGTGCTGGGTCCGGCGGAGCCCCCGAGCCCCCCGCGGTCCCGGGGCGCGGGCGGTGRGAGGCGGTGGAGTCTGCGCGCATGGAGGGAGCATCGCTGTCGGAGCGAGCCTCCGSTGCCCTCCGCTGCCCGTGCCCTGGCCCCTTCTTGCAGCCTCAGGGGTGCTGCTGCCCGCGTTGGGGCCGAGCTTTGGGGGAAGCGGCAGTGGCCGGAGGCGCAGAGCCCGAAATGCCGGAGTGGTGCTGCAGCCCCCGCCCCATGCCACCCCCTGATTCTCCCTCTAGTGCTTCTTTTTTTGTTGGTTTTTTTTTT